TATATCCAATTGATATACCCATGTATTATTATTTTTCCTACCTGATATTATATAAATAAATAAAAAAAAAAAAAAAACAGATAGTAGTTCTTGTAAAGAAAATATTAAATAATTAGAAAAAACTATATTTTTAAAGCCAGACCATTCAATTATACAAGAATCAAATTCTATTAATGGTAAAAGGATTTGTTTATTAATAGTTTTTGGTGATTTAAAATGATTTAATAATGTTTGCAGTTCTTTATAATCAAATTTTAACAAATCTTCTTTTTTGCATGACCATTCTACTGGATTTAGAATTTTCATTGTTGCAAATAAAGAACAATCTAGGAACTGATTTGTAATTTTAATAATTACAATACTTGTGTATTCATAAATATCTTTTAATAGATTATTATAATTCCATTTATTATATGTAAGTATATATATATAGTATATTATATTAGATTGTTAATTACTATTATTAAATGAATTTGTATGATCAATAAAAACTTAAAAGTAATAGCCTAAATTTGTATTTACAATATAGTCTTTTTGAATGCTTTCAATCATAACATTAATTATAAGAATAATATCGCAAAAAAAAAGATTTTGCTTTTGAAAAAATTTATTTAATAATGTTAATTGACCCAAAACATAAATAAAATAAAAAAATCTAATTAATCTCCAGTTACATAATTATTGATATAAATTACAAACAACTTTACTATTATTAGTTTTGAGTTGTAAAAGTATAGCAGATAATGTTTTGTCAAAATTTTTAATAACATCATACTAGTCAAGTTATTGAACTTTTTTTAATTTTTTAAATGTATCTCTGGAAAATCAAGAATTCATTGATATTCTTAAAGAATATTAACATGTTTTGCTGAGTTTTTGTAAAATTTATATATATCTTTAATAATAATCTCAGCATTAACAAAATAATTAAACTGTTTTTGTGAATCTTTGCAGGTTAATGCTAAATGATATGCAATACAGTGATTGTAAATAATATATAAGCATATTTTAAATAACATCATTTTTGTTTTCAATTATTACAGATACACTATCTGAGGCAAAAGCTACTAATTTATCTATAACATCTATTAAAAAAGTATTTATTTAATAAAAAAATATAAATTTTACTATATATTATTATTATTATATTTATTATAATTTTGAAACAACAAAATTAATTTAGTAGTTATTATTACTGCATTACTTTGGTTAAGTGCAAGTAACTGCAAAAAATGTATTTTGACATTACTTGAGCAATTTGAATATATTATATAAATAACTAAATACTTGTTTATAGAAATATCTATGCTCTTATTAATTATAATTTCAAAAAATACTGCTTTACTAATTTCTTTTTATATGTTAACTTTAATTATATTTGATATAACAAAAGCAAACTTATGATCAAATACTTCATTTTCATATGTAATTAAACCTTTTATAATAAATAAAGACTTCAATTTACAGAACATTTGAATAAAATAAGAAAGCTTAGTCAATAGTATATTTTGTCTTATAAGAATATATATAATTTTTATAACTTTAACTATATGATTTTTGTTTTTTTGTATAACTTGTATTAATTCTTTAGTTCTTGCTTTTTTAGTCATATCAAGTTTTATTGCATTTATATGTTAATCTGAAGATACATGTTCTTTAACAGAACTTTTTTATCTAAAATTTACAAACTCTATAATGATAATATAAGTTTTGCATACCAACTTTGTACAAACAGACAGTCAAATTCATATAAACTGACAGTCAAATTCATCAAATTAACAGTTAAATTTGTACAAATTAACAGTCAAATTCGTACATACCACTTTTAATTAAATCATAATATCTTATGACTTAGTTATTTAAATTATATAAATTTGGTACTATTTGGTTTGTCAAAATTAGATAAATCAAATGATATTAAATTTATATAATTTAAATTACTAGATCACGAGATATTGTGATTTAATTAAAAATGTTATATACAAATTTGACTATCAATATATACAAATTTGACTATCAGTTTATATAAATTTAATTATTAGTTTGTATAAATTTGACTGACCATTTGCATGAAATTGGTATGCAAAATCTGTAATATTTAAATTATTAAATATTATGTAAATATAATAAATACTTATATTATTTATCTTTAGTTTCAAAAACATTATATTTTTCATAATGCTTGCAATATTTACAAAACATTCATTAGAAAACTTTATTATATTAAAGTTATCTAAATTCATTGAGTTAAAAGCTTTAAAAACTAGATTTGAATTTTGTTGCAATTTGTAATTTTTTCTTATTATTAGATAACACTAACTTACTTTGTTTATTTTGACAATTTTAATTATTTTTTGTAATTACTTTTATCATTGTACTAAATACTTAGACTATTCTGGTTACTTTTGTTTAAATCTATTAATTCAAAAAAACTTTATTAGACTTATAAAAATATATATATATTTTGATATATATCAATTTATTAATTACATAATATGTGCACAAGATTTTACATTTTACATAATAGTTAATAGTCTATTTTATTAATTTATAAAATAACAAGAAATTTCTAATTGTTAAAAAATTTTATCAAAATTTTTTTTAGTTTATTAAAATCTCTAATATTTTATAATAGGTTGTTGTGCATTGTAAATTACTAATTTTTATTTTAAATCAATTTAAAGTATTTATTATTACATTTTGAAAAAGATATTATATTGCATCAGAAATTCTTTAGATTTAAAAATTACATTTAAAGTCAGAATTTAAATCTAAATAATTAAATTATATAATAAAGTCAAATTCTTAAATTATTTATAAATTATTTTTAAATCACAAAATTTGATTTAAATAATAATTTTTTCTATTTTTACATATAGTATAATCCTCTAATATTTTAAAAGTCACTTGCATAAACTAACTAGTTTATAAAAAATCTATAATGTAGATAACAAATTTGATTTAAGAATAAAAATAATGAGTTAACAATTAAGCCAGATTAACTGAGACTTTAAAACTCTAATTATAGTTTTGAAACTCTAATTATAGCTTTGGCACTAAGTCACCTTAAGCTAACATATCTTGTTTAAAAAGTCAATACTAAGTTAGCTTGATTGTTAGTTGTTTCATTTTTACATAACTTGATATACAATTTATATGAAAATAAAGAATAAAAAAATTAAAATTTTCAAAAAATAAAAAAAAATAAAATCTTGTAAGCATAGTTGTGAATTCTAGTTCAGAGTATTAAAACTTTTTAATATAAATTCTTATTTAATTTATTATTAGAGAATATAAAAAAACTCAAAAATTTACTTATTTAGTTTTAAAAATTTTTAAATTTAAATTCACTTAACTTTTAATCTTTACAAATTTGTAATAAATACTGATATTGTTAATCTTTATAAATCAGATATTTTTTATGAACTTTATAATATTTTACATGATGTTTTAAATAATAATATAACTGCAAGTACTGCTATTACAAGTAATAAAAATATTGTATCTAATATTTTTAATAATTTTGTTATTTTCTTTTCAAATAAAAAAAATCAAACCTATATCTTTTTTTGCTAATCTATATTTTTTACAAAAACTGTTAACAATAAAATTGTAATTTATAGTTTTTATAAAACTAGTTTAGTATAACTATAGTTACTGGTAACTTATGCAAATATTTTGACTCTAAACATTCTAGTTAAAATACAAATAATTAAATATCAAATTAATAGTTTTTTTTATTTATATCTAAAATTACAATTTCTAAATAAATTTTAATATTAATTCAAAAAATTAAATTAAATATATTAATTTCTAAATAGATTGTATTTGATACTTTATTTTTTTTTATTATATCAAGTAAATTATTTATTGCTATACTTTGATATTTTAATGCTAATATTAATTTTTTTTTATATAAACTTATAAAATCTATTATTTAAAACTCTTTTACTATAATACAAAAAGAAGTTAAAACTTTTTTAAAACAAGTTTTTAGTAAAATTTCTATTACATTAGATATATAAACCTTACAAACTATTGTATCTTTTCTTTGTGTTATAGCATATTAAATAAATAATAACTAGAAACTTAAAACAATTTTATTTGATATTGTAATAGAATTTGTTTTTTATATATTATTATATATTTGTTTTTTAGTTTTATATTATATTTTATATTTTTCTTAGTATTTTTACATAGTTTATAAATTATTTTA